ATGAGGCCGGGGAAGGCAGGCAGTGGGCGCAGCAGCGCGTTGGTAGCATAAGGGTAGCAGTCAAGGACGAGGCGCTGCAAGGGGCAGCCGAAGAAGAGTGCCAGGGCACGGGGGTGCAGCTGCCCATCACGGGCCAGCTGTGCCAGGAGGCGCTCGGCCAGTGTGGGCGTCAGGGCCGCCAGACTGCTACAGTACTGCTTGCTGGGCGCTGTAGGAGCAGGACACCCCGTGAGCACCAGGGGATGGAGACGTGGGACACAGTGGCGTGGGGGCTCGCGGGGCCCTACCTGTCAGGAGGCTGGAGGCTGCCCCCAGCGCCAGCTGGCAGAGCGAAGGCACATGGGCGTGGGGTGAGGGCCGTCCGGACCCAGGGGCTGGGGGGGGCTCAGTGGGGGGCCCCTGTGCGGCCTGGTGCCAGCGCTGCTCTGCAGCCTGGGCGGCAGCATCTGATAGCTCTGGGGGGGACATGTCAGGCCCAGTGTCTGCAGGTCTGCGGAAAGAAGCTGGGTTAGGCCATGGGGCTGGGGCCAGCAGGAGCATCCCAGTCCCCTGATAGGGCCACATACCTGAGCCTGTTGCCCTCAGCTGGCCAGCGGTGCCGGGGCTCCCCCAGGCCCGGGCTCCAGTGCCGGCTCGGAGATGGCAGCGAAGGAGCCGGCCCCACGTCTGCAACCAGAGCACAGATGGCATCAGCCAGGGACAGGAGGGGGGAAGCTGTCCCACAGCTCCCGCTACCCTCTGCCTCTCTGAAAATCAAAGCTCCCTGGCTCACCCCCCCCCAACCCGCTCAGGCAGTGCTGGGACAGGGGCTCTGTACGAGGGGAGGTGGGACCCTGCCACTCTCCCCCCCCCGGTGACAGCTGGACCTGCTCCCATGTGCGACGCCCCTTCCCCAGACCAGCTCTGGCCGCTGCCCCACACAGCGCTGCTGACCTGGTGGTGGGGGCTCCTCCTCCAGCAGGCCATGCCTTGCAAGGGCAAGAGGTTCCTGCTCCTGGCTCTCTGCTGTCAACCGCTGACCTGGACCTGTGTGCAGGAATTGGGGGAAGCGAAAGGACTGTTAGAGCAGGTGCCGTAGCACAGGGGCAACTCCAAGGAACTACCCCCAAGAGCCCCTGACCAGGGAAGTGGGTACGTGGCACTGCTTGCCCTGCACTGCACGGCTCCCGCTCACCCCAGCGGTGGTGGGGCGGGAAAGCTGACTCCCAGAGCCCGCGCACGCCCGGGCTCCCCGGTACCACGCGATGGGCGGGTGCGCTCAGCACCGGCCCCAGCTCTTCGCCTGCTGGGAACACGCCGGCTGCCCCGGCCTGTTCCAGCGCCAGCCCCAGCCCCAGCACTTCGCCCTGGCCCCAGGCATGCTCTGGCACTGGGGGTGCCTGGTGCTGCAGCCTGGGGCCTTCCTCAGGCAGGGCTCCCTTCTGCGGGGCACGGGGACCAGGCGGGGACGGCTCGGGGCTGCTGGTCTCGGTGGCCTGGACGCAGAGGGTGGCACTGGGGGCAAGGCCCAGGGACTGCAGGCTGCAGGGCAGGTCAGCCGGGCCGAAGCGGCGCCGGGGAAAGGTCTGGAGCAGGGTGAAGGGCGGCAGCTCGGGGTGCAGGGCCTGCAGGCGCCGCTGGACCCGCCGCAGGGGGCAATCGGCCGCGAAGCGCTCACGTAGGGCCTGGCCTGACGGCAGGCGGATCTGAGGACGGAAAGCACAGCGGTTACGCGCAGGCACACAGAGGGGGAACACGGATAAACACCCACGGCCCCCCTCCCACCAGCACCCCCAGGCCGAAAGGCAAGGCCTGTGGGACTCTCGCCTGTCACAGAGGACCTGTACTGCACCTGTGCTGAGATGCAGCTGCTTCTGGGGTGGGAAACGCCATTGCACATGCACAAGGCGTTTCCCCCAACAGTGCAAAGCGGCCCCTCGGGCGAGGGATCAGCACTGGGCGGGGAAAAGGAAGAATGTGCACGCCCCAGCCTCGAGGGCCCGGCCGTGCAGACTCACCATGAGCAGGCACTGCCCGTTGGCCGCCCCTGCAGCGCTGCCCTTGGCTCTGTGGCCCAGGGTGGTGGAGGCCTCCGGCTTCGGAGCCAGCTGGGCCTTGGCCTGCACATTTCTCCGGTCGTCGGCGATTCTCTGCAGCACCAGCTCGTGCTCCTGGGCAGGGAAGTGTTACTGCGGCGCTCGGGGGCCCGTGAGCACAGCCCCGCCACGGGCTCCAGCACGGCATCACCGAACCCGCCGGGGCCCAGCAAGCAGGTGGGGGGCAGCACGGGGGCCACCCTGCCCAGCGCCCCTCCCCCCAGCCTCCGCTCACCCTCTGCTTCTTCTGCCTCTCGGCTTTCACCTCCCGCGACCGCCGCGCTCGC